ATTAGGCGTCACGGTGGCGAGATGTTAACTGCCTCGTCTTGTATACAGGAGGTTTGTGGGTTTGATCCCGACCCTGACGATGCCTGTATTTTTGAAGTTTGCACGTGCTCTCCATAGTCGAGTGGATTTTTCTCCGGGTTTTCTGGTTTTTCCCTCCACAATTAGAATCGACTCGCGTTTCGAGTGTTTGGCTGCTAAACATTTCCACATGATACGCCACTTTATTGAGCTGTAATTTGTGGCCAGGTTGCTTCTGAAAACGAGCTATACAGCTCCGTGGGCCTTACCTGGTAAAATAAAAACAATTAGGTTTCGTTTGATAGTTTATATTGGCCGATATAAAATGCGTGACGATCGTATGTTATCTTTTGCCAAAAAATATATATATATACCGCGATGTATTGATCGTCGTTGCTCGTGAAAAAAGGTGTGTTTTACCTCCTAACAAAATAATTACGAAGTCACAAAAGCACAGCAATAACGCTTCTAGATAATCGCTCTCATCTATTAAAATGGGTGCTTTTCATACCGTTTTGTGGCGTAAACTGATGGCACACTTACGTGACACGTGCTCAGAATTTTTAGCAGTCTATTTAATTGATTCCCATTTAATTAGCAGCGTGCGAGCTCTAAGCTTCACAGGCTGTAAAGTTGCAGTGATTAAACGCCTTGTGGCAGGCTTATGTTGGGTTACCCGCGGCAAAAGCTTTCTTCAAGTTATCTGTATTGATTCTGGAAGCACAGTGATGCACGACAATAAAATATAGAGTAACACGATTACAAAGTTATGGGAAACTGATGTCTTCATAACCGTCTAATCGTGAAAATGTAAATTATTGTATTTGTGAAAAAAAATATCACGGTAATTCTACCTACAACTGCAAAATATTTTATGAAACTATCCAAAAAATCATAATACATTCCAGCAAGTGTACTTATTATTCGTAAATGTTCCATGGCGATGGCAGTAATTAGATGATGAAGCTTTTGGCCACCCTCAAAGAGTCATTGGATGCACTCGGGAGACGGACGTGGCAAATGAGATGGCATTAAATTTCGATTTAAAGCTTTCGTGACTGCAAGGCTTCATCTTCTTGGTTCTTTCGGTAAAGTCACGTAGAATTGAAATAATAAAATAATAAAATAAAACATAATATAATATAATAATCATAATACATTAGTTTGTTATGTAAATAATATAATATCATAATCATAATACGTTATTTATTTTTATTTTATTTTTTTATCATTTCCATTCTACGTGACTTTACCGAAAGCACCAAGAAGATGAGATAGCATTGTGAAGAAAAAAACCCAACAACAACCTCGATTTGGGCAGAACACACACCGCTCGCAAGGGCGACGTGGCCGATGAGACTGGCGGTGGAGTGACAGCCAAAGGAGAGGGAATGTTGAGAGGTCACCGCCGCGGAGATGGAGCGACGAGGGGTCACGGCAGTTAACGTGACGGGAGTGCGAGAGGAGCATACGGCATTGCATGATTGATTGCGATGGCATGGAAAGGCCTTCATCAAGCAGTGGATAGACAATGGCTAATGATGATAACGATATGAAGTAACGTATTTTCAGACTGTAACGTCCCACTGGTTTTGTCCTTTACATTGTTTTCAGCCAATTGCATCCAATTATTTTAATGCCATGTGTTGTGAATGTGCTGCGCATGAGGGTTTGTATATCATTAGTTTAAAATGCTCGCATGCATATGAATGTTTCTGAGTGTCTCTGGGACCAATTCACTGAGGCTTCGCTACAGAGAGCTTGTGTGTGTGTTGTTTTTATAACTGGTGCAGCAAAAAACCATTGTTGTATGATACTACCAATTCACTGAGCCTGCACTACAGAGAACCTGTGTGTGTGTGACCTGGAAAAAAATCGATGTGACCACTGGGAGAGCATGCAAACTCCAGGCATACAGGTGCCTTGGACGGCATCATACCCATGACCTCCCGTATACCAGGCGAGGTAGTTAACATCTCGCCACCGTGGTACCCTTATTGAATGGATGCTGCCGCAGCGTCGTGGTCTCAACACAGAGATCGAGCCGCCGGTTCAACCTCCAGGCGCGGCAGTTGAAAAAATGTGCAGGTTTATTATCCCCTCCCTGCCTTCACCATCCAAAACTGACCAGCAAGGAGAAGTATGGTCAAATAACACCTCTTGGCGTGGGGAGGCCTTCATCCAACAATAGATTAACAAATGGCTTTAAAGGCATTATATTTAAATGCAAAGGCCGTCCAACATATCTTTGTCATGAAACATTCTTATTTGACCTTACTTTACCTTGCTGCTCAGAGTGGGTTGGTGAAGTGGGAGAGGATGGGACCATGTAGATGTCACTCGCCACTGATGTTGACCTCGCTCAGGAATCCAACTCAGGTCACCGTGTTGTTCAAATGCGCAGCATGTGAACTGCTGCACTGACGCTGCCCAAAACATGACCCTAGCAGGGATTGGGAAATTAAAACACTTTTTTGGAAAACAGGTCTTTCAAAGTAATGTTAAGGTGCAGCCCTGCAATTTCTTGCTCAGAACCACTGCTGGCAGAAGGCTCTCCACTATAGGGTACTCTCGCGAGCCCCTCCACAGGGCATTTGACCTATTCTTCCACACTGGCCAGACGTTTTGGAATAAGTGGGAGTACTCACATTTCCCTCCACCACACGTGACCTACAATTCCTTGTTTTTTACCAGGTAAGGCCCAGTGGGCTATATAGCTCTTTTCAGAAGCGACCTGGCCACAAATGATAGCTCAACGACGTTGCTTATCACGTGGGCATTTATAGCAGCCAAATACTCTAAATGGACGTTGATTTTCGATTTAAAGCTTTCGTGACTGCAGGGATTCATCTTCTAGGTTCTTTCGGTAAAGTCACGTAGAAGGAAAAAAGAACAGGTCTGTCAAGTAGACAGAGTCTGACAGACCTGTTCTTCACCTGAAGACGGCTGCTTGCGTTGTGGCCGAAACGTCGTGAGAATTATTTTATTATGTTTTATTTTTAAAGCCTTTATATTAAGTTCGCTTGCTTGCTTGCTTGCGTGCTTGCTTGCGTGCTTGCTTGCTTGCGTGCTTGCTTGCTTGCTTACGACCGTGCAAATCTTTCGGTCGTTTTTTAACCCACTTCCCGTGATCCAATCGAGCAGACATTTTCCACACAGACTCGTTGTGACAGACAATTAATGTTCGTGAAAAAAAAAAAATTTTTTTTTACACTTTTTAGGCAAAAAAAAAATATTTTACATTTATTCAAATAGAACTCATTCATGGCTTTGGCTGAACGTCACAGTATAGGAGCCCAGAGCGTAACCCATCCACAGGCCGTGGCGGAGTAGCGCAGTTGGTAGCGCCCTCGCTTCCTATGCCAAAGGTCGCGGGATCGATCCCCGCGTCCTCCACAGGCGAATATATTTTAAATCCTTTAAATTAAGTTCGCTTGCTTGCTTATGACCGTGCAAATATTTCGCTCGTTTTTTAACCCACTTCCCGTGATCCAATCGAGCTGACATTTTCCACACAGACTCGTTGTGTGTGACAATTAATTTTCGTGAAATTTTTTTTCCAAAATTTTACACTGTTTAGGGAAACAAATTAAATATTTAATTACCAATTGTTCAATACTGGCAGACAATCATCTGACCCATAGATTGCAGCCATTTCAAGCCAGAGGACGAGAGGACTCTAGCCGCCACGCATATAAAGGATTTAGAGTGAAAAACTTTGTTTTTATGGGTTTACTTGTTATTATTTTATTATTTTCCTTCTACGTGACTTTACCGAAAGAACCAAGAAGATGGACGTTGATTCTAAATGTGGAAGGAAAAACTGGAGGACCCGGAGCAAAATCCACTTGACCACGGAGAGAACATGCAATCTACAATTATACAGCAGGCACCAGGATCGGGATCAAACTCACAACCTCATTCGTGCCAGGTGAGGCAGTTAACATCTCGCCACCATGGTGCTATCGACTAACTGGTGGTAACCCACGTGTACGGCTGGGTGGGTAGAGGCAGAGGGGGGAATTTAAGAAACCTGCACCATTGTTTTAACTGCCGCGCCAGGAGGTCGAACCCGCGGCTCAATCTCTGTGCTGAGACTACGATGCTGCGGCAGCATCCATTCAATGAGGGTACCCTGGTGGCGAGATGTTAACTACCTCGCCTGGTATACCGGAGATCATGGGTTTGATGCCGTCCAAGGCACTTGTATGCTTGGAGTTTGCATGCTCTCCCTGTGGTCACATCGATTTTTATCCAGGTCCTCCGAGTTTTCTTTCCACATTTGGAAACGTACAGTATTTGGCTACTATACATTTCCACATGATAAGCCACTTCGTCGATGTATCATTTGTGGCCAGGACACTTCTAAAAAAAGAGCTATATAGCTCAGTAGGCTTGACCTGATTTAAAAAAAAGTTTAGTTTAAATCAATAACTAACCCAATAAAGAGCCACTTTTTTTAGGAAAGTGTATGTGTCAATACACGACTATTGGAACTGTGTGCCAAAAAATATCAAAACGTCACGCTCTTCCCAGCAAATGCAAAAACAAATGCTGTTCACAATACCTTGGTATGACTGATAAAATTTATTTCCACCATCAGCGTGGAAAATGGTGCTTATGGTATTATAATTTCTACCCAATACAGAAAGGATAACAAGTGTAGCATCAAAACGCAGCCGATTGTTCTAATCTACAATCCGAATTGACTGAACAGCTTGTGGCAAACGCTGGCATTATAGTGTTTAGTTTTTAATTATCGTCAGTGGCTTGATGCTACAAAATGCTGAAATTGTTGATGCGATATTCTAAATCAGGCACTCTTTTTTCTGCCTTTGTTATGACGCTAGTCTTCAGAGTGCATTAAAATTAAACTTTTGCTAAATATGTTGCATCAATGCTGTTTATTCATATGCACAGTTAAAGACGAGCAATCGTTTGGATATATAATTGTACCGTTTCCCTGTGCGCTGTTTCCGCAGCTTCGAGGCCCGTCGCTCGGTCGCCAAAATGTCTTCCCCTGGCGCTCGAAGGCTTGCCAGCGACAGCTGCCCGCGGGCCTCCCTGCCGTGCGTGCTGCTGGCGATGGCCGCCCTGTTGATGACGGGCCGGTGCTGCCCGCCGCGCTGCGAATGCGACGTCCTCGAGAAGTCGGTGGTATGCCACCGGCGACGCCTCTCCGCCATCCCCGAGGGCATCCCGAGCGAGACGCGTGTCTTGGACCTGAGCAAGAACCGCCTCAAGTGCGTCGACACAGACGACTTTGCGGCCTTCCCCGAGCTCGAGGAACTGGAACTGAACGAGAACGTCATCGCCACCGTCGAGCCCGGGGCGTTCAACAACCTCCCCTACCTGCAGTCGCTCAGGCTCAGGAGCAACCGCCTGCGGCTGCTGCAGATAGGAACCTTCGACGGGCTCACCAACCTGACCCACCTGGACATCAGCGAGAACAAGATCGTCATCCTCCTGGACTACGTCTTCCAGGACCTCGTCAGTCTGAGGAAGCTGGAGGTCGGCGACAACGACCTGGTGTACATCTCGCACCAGGCCTTCAGCGGCCTGCAGAGCCTGGAGGAGCTGACGGTGGAGAAGTGCAACCTGACGGCCGTGCCCACCGAGGCCCTGACCCACCTGTCCAGCCTGCTCATGCTGAGGCTGCGCTACCTCAACATTGCCACGCTGCAGGACTACTCCTTCAGGAAGCTCTTCCAGCTGCAGATGTTGGAAATCGACAACTGGCCCATGCTCGAGAAGCTCTCGAAAAACAGCCTCTACGGCCTCAATGTGACGTCGCTCACCGTAACCAACACCAATCTCTCGGCAGTGCCCAGCGACGCTCTTAGGCCACTGCAGTATCTCCGATTCCTCAACCTGTCCTACAATCCTCTGGGCACGATCAAGGCGGACGCCTTTGAGACGCTACGCCATCTGAGGCACCTTTGCGTCGCCGAGGCTCAGCTCAGTAGCATCGATCCTTACGCCTTCCGGGGCCTAGCCGAGATGAAGATCGTCAACGTGTCGGGTAACAACCTGATGACGTTGGAAGAGAAAGCGTTCCACTCCGTGGACGTTTTGGATGCTCTGTACATCAACGAGAACCCGCTCGTGTGTGACTGCCGTCTGCTGTGGCTGACGAAGCGGCTCTACATGCTGCGCTTTGACGACAGCCCGCCCGTCTGCTACACCGCCGACTACTTGCAGGACATCGAGTTCGGCAGTGTCGCGTCCAACAAATTCCTCCCGTACTTCGTCTGCAAGAAGCCCAGGATTGTCGGCCCCAAGCAGCGCACCTACTCCGTCAAGGAGGGCCAGATCGTGAAGCTGTCCTGCACAGCCGAGGGTGACCCGGCGCCCCGTAAGATCTGGGAGCTGCCGCAGAGGAGAGCGGCACCAGCGCCGACGAGGCGGAATGGCCGCCTCAGCCTCCTGCCCGACGGCAGCCTCCAGATCCGGCACGCGCAGCTGCACGATGGCGGGCGGTACACGTGCGTCGCCAGCAACGTGGCGGGCAACGACAGCGCCACGGTTCACCTCCTGGTCGGCGGGTCGGGCCTGGGCTCGGGCAACGCGTCGCTGCTGGCGCACGCGGCGGCCGACATGGCGGCGGGCAACGGGAGCGGCGGCGGCGCTGGGGGGGCGACGGGCGGCCGTGGCGGGTTGGGCTTCCCGCTGGACCTCACCACGATCCTCGTGGCCACGGCCATGGGCTGCTTCACCTTCCTGGGGGTCGTGCTCTTCTGCCTGCTCATCCTCTTCCTGTGGAGCAGGGGCAAGGGCAAGCACAAGACCAACGTGGAGATCGAGTACGTTCCGCCCCGCAAGCCCGACGAGTACATGCTGGACGCCACCCGGCCGCGCCGCTACAACATGAAGATGATTTGACACAGGGGTGAGGTGGGCCCACCCCCCCCCCCCGTGCCCAGATCACTTGGTCCATGAACTCCCTCTTTCTATCTCACTATCTACCGATCTATTGCTGATTGGGCGATTACAGCGCTCTGTTTGATTTCTGGCAAGTGCGGATAGGTTTCCTGAATCGCGTCGTGCTCTTTGCGAAGGCGGGATGTGTGAAAGAACTCAAGTGTCGAGGGGAATAGGAGGTCAGTTAGCCAAGGGAGATTTGGGCTGGCCGGCTTAGTGGCAAACCCCAAGGTAATTGAAGGTGAACCAAAAAAACGAAGCAATGACAAATATCAAAGAAGATAACCTGAACTGTGTTAAGTTGTTTCCGCTGTCGTCTCTGCGACAGCTGTCATCGCCGCATCGGGCTCGCTCCCATCCCCGTGCGTATTCTCAATGTGTTTTCATCCCCTTTGACACGTGGACGGTTTTTCAAAAACTACTTCTCAATGTTGTCCCCCTATCTCACAAATGTGCGCTTGGCACAAATCAAACTCGCTCGTTTGGACAGCTCTGCGTTGTGCGTGCACGTATCTACGTCGACTGCATCTGGAGGTGCAGGAACATGGCGAAGTACTCGATAAAAGCACTTGCCCCGACAGTTTGTTAAGTCTATATGGGGGGGGGGGGATCTTTGTCTGTTGCATCGCTCATTCCGAATGAAAAATTGAACGGCTCATAAAACAGAGTTTAATTGTTATGGTCAGCTGTCTGTCAAAGTAGCATGGGAAGCATATGCATCAACTCAGTCAATGGATATTTACAGCATTCATTTCATACTGCAGATAGTTTCAACCACAGCGGTGGTATAGTGGGCAGTGTACTGAGCTTGGAACCCCGAAAACCAATGTTTGATTCCGAGCGGCAGCCAAGATCAGTTGTATGGGATATCAGAACGGGTCCTGCCTCTTCTCCCCTTCACCATCCCCGGATTGAGCAGATTGGTGAAGTATGGTAAGATAAAACTGCCACACATGGTATGGGGAGGCTTTCATAAATTGGCAGATTGCCAATGCTGGGAATGTTTTAAATGTATTTGATGTTTCACGCAATAGAAACAATATTCTAAGTGTTGGAGTACTACAAGGGTTTTCCTATTCACTTTTGCTATTCGAATAAGTGCCATTTATTCAAATAAAAGTAATATTGGGAAAATGGAAAGGGAGGGAGTGAAAAGAGTTGCATGCATCCTTTCACAATTCTTGTTCGACCTGTGAAATGAAGAGAGATGCGTGTGCCCTGCATCGTCCGTCGAATGCATTTGGGGAACAGTTTCTTTGTTAATGTTTCCATTGAAATGGAAACTGCATGTCAAGGACTACATCCAGTTATAGGCGGTTCGGACACGACTGCTAAATGCAACGCTTTGAACCGCATTTGCGCGGTGCTTCTGCCCAGCGATATCCCGTGCATTGGCAACTGCGAGGCTCTCTACTCGTACGAATGTATTTTGCTTCAAATAAGCGGAGCTATTTCTCGTGCCTCGTATTGGAAAAAAAGGCAGTGAATGAAAGGCAAAGATATATTATATTAAACATTTTCTTTTGAACTCACTCAATATTAATAATATTAATAATACAAACAGTTTCCTATAGTAGTAAAAGTTAAGTAACCTTTATGAGCCTGACGGGAAACTATCGATTATTGGAAGCTGAGATGAGTCAGAGAACGTAAGCATATTGAGTGCAGTAAATACTTTGGTTGAAGGCACACAGGAAATCTAGGGTCGAATACTTTATCCAGGAAGTCGTGATTAAGGCTCGATTCATGAGGGTGTTGAAATAAAGACAAGAAGTGATTTAATAAATGTAATTAAAAAATTTTCTTCCACTTATCGTCATCTGTTTCGGCGCAGGCTAATATGTCCTCGATCATAATTGATCATTTCACTGCGTCGTGCTGCTTTTTAGGGCGAGTGTATCAATTTATTCGATGAAAAGTGCTGCCAGCATGACATGTGGCCCGAGTGAGTGCTAGATACGACCATCACAATGACACACAAAAACAAACCCCAAATGACAAAACATAGTCGAGTGTGTGAAGGCACAGCCCAGCAATTGCTTGCTCACACCACTGTCGGTGGCAAGGCCTCCACTTCAAAGCGGGACCCTTTAGAAGGTAATTGGCCTACTCCTCCACGCTGGCCAGACCATCTTGGATAGAGGTGAGAGTGCCCTCACTTTACCCCACCACACGAGGCCCGTGAACCCGTTTGTACCGTTGGGTGGACAGACGTTTCGCCGTTGGACATTTAATAAACCTGCACCGTTTCAACTGCCGCGCCGGAGGATCGGATCTACAATCTCCGGATCGTAGCTCTATTGTGCTAAATCTTACACCCGCGGCAGCAACCTCACTCGACTGGGTTAATAATGAAGGCCCCAATGTTCCTCTGAGTGGCCACTTTATGTTAATGACTGCATCATTTCAGCTCAGTGAATTTATGGAAGAAATGAAACATAGAAGAAGAACAAGAAGAATAAATAAGAATTGTTTGTTCTACAATACCAACAACGATAATTGTTTTTTTACCCTTCTATCTGGCAACAATTTTTTTTAACAAGGAGTCATGTTTGCATAGACCACAATACCTGCAGTCATAATGCAAACAAAAAACACAACTCTGATAATGTATGCACTGTCCTTGAAGTTGAATGGTCCACACCCGAGACAGCTTTTCTTAGAGCCTAGTCTCACCTGGTGTTGGACCAGATGACGCCAAAAGGCACACAACTCAAAGACAATGCACCATCAGAGTATGAGAGCTCGGGGTAAGCATTTACACAGTGCATACATGATCAGAGTTATGTTTTTTGTTTGCATTATGACTGCAGGTATTGTGATCTATGCAAACATGACTCCTTGTAAAAAAGGTGTCAGTTTTGTTGCCAGATAGAAGGGTAAAAAAACAATTATCATATTTTTTACTGGAAAATGAGGTTCCAATGGTGGAAATGCTTACCCCGAGCTCTCATACTCTGATGGTGCATTATTTTTGAGTTGTGCGCCTTTTGGCGTCATCTGGTCCAACCCATGTGAGACTAGGCTCTAAGGAAAGCTGTCTCGGGTGTGGACCAATCAAATTCAAGGACAGTGCATACATTATCAGAGTTATGTTTTTTGTTTGCATTATGACTGCAGGTATTGTCGTCTATGCAAACATGTCAGTTTTGTTGCCAGAAAGAAGGGTAAAAAAACAATTATCATATTTTTTACTGGCAAATGAGGTTCCAATGGAATACCAACAACAATATGCGACAGAAGGCACTTTGGAATAATTACTACATCGCCGGTTAATTTATCTCGCGCATGAATTGCTGCAGTTTGTGCTTTTACTTTCAGCATTCTGCCCGAATGCGGAACCCCCCTGTGGGAATGCTAATGGTTTTGGCAACACAGTTGGGTGCAAGGAAGGACACTTGTTTTTTTCGGTTGGGCACTCATGATTATTCAACAATTCCAACGCGAGGCTGAGTAATATTTGCATACATTTGGTTTGCATGCAGAGTGTTACCAAAAGGTCATAATGGTCAAGGCTGATGATGCCACGACACCACACCATTTGCATTCTCCCCTTCTGCTACATCTCTATAGTTGTACCAAAGTTAGCACCTGTCCTGCAAAGGTCTGCTCTTGCAGTCTCATCGTACCACCGCGATCTGACTGTAGGTCTTCGCCTTGTTCAATGGTTAACACATCCTTGACGGACCACAGTCTCATCATCATCACCACCACCATCTCGCATTAGGTCTTACCATTTCTTGTCGACCTCTGGGTGCCACTTCGATGCCTGTTTTGGTGACCTGCCCTCTTCCATCCTGCAGACGTGTCCCACACATCGCAGATTACGTCTACAAAACGTTCTTTGCTATGTCCTGGTATGAACCTCCAAGGCGTTGGTCACGCTATTCTGTTTTGGAATTCATAGCATCCTCTGCATGCACCTATATTAAAAGGTTTGTACATACTGAATATGTATATACAGCGACATTTTGGATATGTGTTAATGTGTGTGTGTGTATGTGAAATGTCTGTACATTGTTGATTAGGTATAAACAATCATCTTGTTGAAACGAACAGAAGTACAGTACTTTACCGATGTTTTTGTTTATTTAGACAATGTAAAAATTGCGTAAGCTGATACACTTTAAGGAGTTTAGTACGTACTGAATGTGTATATGAATACATATATAAAAAAACTAAACATATACGTGGATTAAACAAAATGCTAAATCCTTTTTGGCAATTGGGATTACAGCTCTGTGCTCCCCGGCAAACACTTAATATGTAAATGTTGGGCTTTTTCTTTTAAATCTGCGAGCGACTGTGCGAGTTCATTCCATCACCGCTTGTGAACGTACCACGTTTTTAAAGTCTGAAGTTGGGCAAAGGACGTAATCTAGATCTGAAGTTTTCGTGACTGCAGGGATCCATACTCTTTGGTTCTCTCGGTAAAGTCACGTGGGTATAAAATAAAATAAATTAATCACAACGTGTCGATCGCAACACAAGCGACCGTCATCAGCAGGACAACTGCTGACATGCAGAGGTCGCAACCGGGTACCCGATACCCGTAGCCTACCCGAGACCTGGCTACCCATACCCGGCCGGGTACGGGTACGGGTAGCCGTTTGCGACCCTGGTGCGGCCGGGTACGGGTAGGCCGTGAGTCACCGGTGAGTAACCGTTTGTCACTCATTTCGGGTAGGATACGGGTAGCGTACGGGTACCCATACGGCCGGGTACGGGTACGGGTAAGGAATCAAAACCCGTTCGCGACCTCTGCTGACATGTCAACTGCTGCAATGTTAACCGCTGACATGTCAACTGGCTTTTGTTGTATTTTATACCTACGTGACTTTACCGAAAAAAACAAAAGAGTACTTAAGGACATCTCTGAAAAAAATTTGGCTGGAGAAATTTAAGTCACCTTTTATGAAACTTCATAAGGAGTTGAGCAAGAGAAGTCAATTTGCAGCTAACGCGCTTTATAGCTTCGCTGAGGTCAATAATGCTACAAATATTACCCGACTGAAAAGTTTGTTTTTCGTCTTGGCAAATTACACTGTCGGTGTTTACATATATAATTAAGTTTTCAACCTAAATCTTAATTAAATTCACGAAATTAATTTTCGAATTAATATTTTACTTTTAAATGGTTGCCGACTTCAAAAAATTAATGTCACCGCAGTTACAGAGGCAGGCGATACATCATGCGATCTGCAATGAATGATTGTCAGCTTAAAAAACAAACACACTTTGAAAATAAATGATTATCGTTCAAATAGACGTTGGCTTTTGTTATATTTACGACGGTGGTCTTTAGTTTCGGAGCAAGGTTTTGAGTACGCGTGCCGAACTAAACCAAGTGCCCTTCCGAAAATGAATCATCACATCTACGACTATTCGTTATGTATAATCGATGACATGGTGCTTATGTGTCTCTCCTTAGTTTGTTTTTACGAATAAAAAAAAATCTTGGGACAATTTTGAAGGTTTTGTTGTTGTTGTAACGTTCCATTTGATGATGGAAGTGGCAGCCTAAGAAATGGATCGCGCACGACAGGACGCCTGCCGAAGAGATGGAGCAGCAATGAGAAAAGTTCGTAGATTGTTACATTGCAGGGTTTCTGAGAAGGCGTTGGTGGTGGTAGCTTGCGGAAGTTTTCATCCAGCAGTGGATTGATCATGGCTGTTGATGATGATGAATATTTATTAATGTACTTTTTATTTATTTATTTTGCAGGTAAAGTTGGGAGGAAAAATTAAAGAGATTCTGTTTTGAATGCAGGCAGCCGCATTATTCATCCAGGCCCTCGGGTGTCGAGAGTTAATGGTCCTGGTCTATTTATGAATCAATGACATCGCAAGTAACAACATCATACGTTTGGTTTTAATTTACTTTAATATATTACACGAGAATATGTCCTGCATGCTGTCAATGTTATTTTAGAATGTCAGACATTCTTAACTGTGTACCCTTTCTTTCCTATTCATAGACTCATTCCTGCCATATGCATGTGGAATTTCCACAACTGGCTGTAATGAGGAGATGGGCACCACTCCAATGCTCACTTGAACAGAAAATCATGGTGACATTAATTTATATATTATTACAGATTGGCGGTGCAGTGGTTCGTGGACTACACTCTTTTTTTCAAGTAATATGCTATAGTTTTAGGAAAGATGAAATGTCTGAAAAATATATATTTATTGTACCATTAAATAGATATTTTGTGGGGTGATGGGGGGGACAGCGGTTAGCGCAATGCTGTATGAGCCAACCAACCTGAATTTGATTCCTGGCCACAACTAACATATCAGTGGCTGACAATGTTATCTCAACCAGTCCTGCCCCCCCCCCCCCAATCACCACACTGCACTGACCAGCATGGTGAAGTATGGTCGATAAGCGAACAGGTTCTTAGCCCCCCCTCCCCCACTGTACCAACCCACACTGATCAGCATGGTGAAGTATCGTCTAAAAACCCCCAAGACTGATTTGGTAAGAGGCTGGATGCATACTTTATAAGCCGAATAATCAATTTTAATCAGTTTATCAAAGCATCGTTATACTCCTAAATAAAACGTGAAACACCTTTACAAGAGTCTCTAATTAGTTCGGTTGAACTTTATCAATTTTTTTTAAAACACATTTCCCTAATTTATGCGATATAACAAAATACAACTATATTATGAACATTTCCTTATGTTTGTGGCATTCGGGGGATAGTGTAAAGTGAATGAAACCGGATGCTGAAATATGCTTGGCTCTTTCGGTAAAGTCACGTAGAAGTGAAATAATAAAATAATAAAAATAAAACATAATAAAATTCTCACGACGTTTCGGCCACAACGCAAGCAGCCGTCCTCAGGTGAAGAACAGGGCTGTCGGAAAGACAAAGAAAGAGTTCTACTGATGACACTGTATTGTGGCCGAAACGTCGTGAGAATTTTATTGTTTTATTTGTATTATTTTATTTACCTTCTACGTGACTTTACTGAAACAACCAAGAATATTAATTCTCTGCAGTCACGAAAGCTTTAAATCGAAAATCGGATGCTGAAAGATGTGCGAAGAAAGTGCGGAGAGGTTGCCTGTTGGGATATAAACCCTGAAGAGGTGGAAAAACGAACTCGTGGATCAGAGGACACATGCATCCGAGAGGCATCGCAGTGATGGTTAACAAAACGTCAATGTGATCTTTTTGAGAACCACACTGTGTTTTGGGTTCTTTCACAGTAGTACAAAAATCATAATAAAGTTTTTTTTTGGGTTAGATCGCGTAAGTGTAAATGTGTCGTAACCCTCCAACCACCCGACGCAGCCAGTGAGGTTTGTCACGCGAACAAAACGCACCAATGAGTTGCTACTTCAGCCCACCATTCACAGCTATGGAGACTGTCTAGCCGAGCGACACTTCACCACGCTGGTCAGTGCGTTCATTCAAAGACAAAGATCCCCCGTATAGCCTTAACAGACTGTAAGGGCAAGTGTTGTTAGCGAGCACCTATGAAGGCCAGAACGGTACACGAGGGGGTGGGTGGCCAG